GAATAACAAATAAACTAGTTGCTGGAATAAACTACATCCAACGAGTCTTAAAAGTGCTATCACATCTTCAACTGATGTGAAATCATTAAAATTGATATAGATAACTTCAAAACAAAATGAAAATAACTTAGCCGCTCTTGTTATTTTACTTCGAAGTGATTTAACAAATTCAAATTATGACCCGAAAATTCGGATATTTTTAAACTACATTATACCTTAATGTCAGCTGACGAAGCCATTATTTGATAGGTAGGTGAGTTTTCCACTTCCTATAGTCTTCTGTAATAATTATCGGTCATTTTTGGTTTTTAGCACTGATAAATATTTAGTTTGACTTTCCAAGTACCCCCTTGAATTGACAAACATCAAATGTAAAGATGGTTGGAAGGAAGTTTCGTGATATCCCTATCAAGAACGTGAATTATATCCAGTTCCGTTGTAGTTTTAGAGCTCAAAAAGAATATGGGTATAGATTTCAGATTAGTTAAACATATTCCCGAGGGCCATTAAACTTTTTATTCGTTATTTTTTTTAAAAAAAGTAGCTTGAATAACCAGTTAGTCATAACTTTTACCTTTCTAAGCAGATTTCTTACTCTTTTATTCATGAAAACTGAAATAGAATCTTAAAACAAATGATGTCCACTTTTCACCATTAATTGAAAATGGCAAATATCGGAAATGTCCAATGATACATGAGATTACAGAATCGAAAATGAGAAGTACGTTTATAAATTTTAGACAAAAAACTGTTCTTTTTTTCGGTAACTACAATCTGATAATTTGAACGCTTTATTCGGTTCCTAAGCTATGCTGGTAACCCGCAAGCTAGAACTACGCAGCGACCTGAACACGAGAGAAAAGGCCAAATTAAGCGAAAGCACTTTACTCCAAAGGTTCATTTTTGTACAGAAAAACACGGGTATTTATAGATGTTAACATTTGTTAGCCCCCAAATGCCCTGGTACGGCCGAGAGTGGGGAGAGTCCGCTCTCCCTCTCGAAATGCTTTCACATGGCCACGCGTATATAGCCTCTGCCAGGGAAGTCCTACTCACTGCCTCCTCGTGGAGGGGTGTTGTTTACGAAATTGAGAGGACGAAAAGCGAATGTCCAGCGCTATAACCGGGTTGGTGGACATGGAAGGGAAGTTGGAAAACCCTGATTCCAAACCAATGGTGCACATGGGCTCCAGTATCCGATGGGAACAAATGGCGTATGAACCAATCGTTGGTCACCGGCTACCATGGGACTGCATCTCCTCACGATGCTCCACTGCCTTATGGGTCAGACCTTTAGGTCCAAGGCTCCGGGTGTGGCCCCCTAAGAAAAGCACCTGCTTCGGTTTGGGCACCTGGGCAGTATCACAGCCCTCACACATATCAAATGAGATCTATGTGGCGCATATGTATTTGGTGCTTCCTTGTACCAATATCTATGTGTTAAAATAATAAAATAAAATAACATTTGTTAAATCAACATCATATTTTGGCCAATCCACTAAAAGACATTATGCTACTGACCAATAGTAGCACGCCACGTTGATATTCTAGAAAGCTCCATCATGTTCTGATTAGCTAGGACTCTTCGGCTCCTTTAGGGCCTCTGGAGGCTCCGTTTCAGTTTTCGAAAAGCCAACTCAACACAATCACATTTAACAGCTTTATTATTGTTACGCTAATATTTTTTCCCAAGAGCAGATGTGATACATTATACTGACGAAGGATTGGAAAAAAGAGAAACAATCCATCTCCACATATTTTATAATCAATTAATTATGAATAATATAGGAAACAGCTATATTTATATAAGTGGATTTTGACTCTCGGATAATTATTTAAATTAGTGAGCACAAAACTGAATCGAGTTTTATCTTTATGATGACATCATCAGTGACGAAACTAATCCCTAAGATGTTGTTAGTCAGATTAATCAATACACAATCAATGTATTAAAAAAATTGAACGAGAGTATTATTATCAGTAGTGGATATTTCAGATCTGATTTTTAAATTATTAGTCAACCTAATTCTAACTTTTACTATAATATGATAATTAGGGGGAAGGGCTATTTTCCATTACTTATGATCCTGATAATATCATCCTTTATTTAAACAAGTAGTTGAAAGAATGATAGTTTTTTCAGGAGGTTACGGCTGATCAACTCAGTGCAGACTGTTGTTTTCCAAATCCTTATATTGAGAAGCAAAACTGAATGGTCATAAAGATGAAGTTTATTCCATTTCAGTATTGAAATTTCTCTAGGTTTAGTTTTTCATATTCGAAATGTGTTGTCTTGAACTTTAGACCACGCAGCTTGGGACTTTAGCTTACAAGCCACGCTTATACAGTTTGACTGCAGTACATTGCTTGATAAAACGAATTTAGTTTGGTGAACTGAAATCAGGGGCTTCCGACTTTTCGGAATTCCCTCCTAAGACTTATTCTTTCATCCTCCTTATATGGCGTACGTACACGATCTTCAAGTTATTTTTTCTCTAAAAAGTCCATATAAATAATTTTTGAGACTCTAACCATTACTACAATTACTAGCGGCCTATACGAAAATCTCAGTCAGTCAGTAACAACGTAGAACTTCGTACGTACGTACATCATTCCGAGTTGCCACACCACCTTAACACATAGATGCAGTTGTCGATCCAAATCCCGTAGTGGTAGAGGTAGCAAGAGTGTAAGCAGTGATCGGGAAGATTAGGGTTTGGAGATGTTATTTAAAGAGTATAATTCAGTGAAATAAATTTGGAAAGAGGAAAAAAGGGACATGAAGAATTTAGAAGATTAGAATTTGGGAGATCACAAAGAGTGGATGCACCTGCGCCATCGCAAACGATTTTGAGCCATGTCATTCACGGTCTCTAACCATCGGTTGCTATCATCTCGCGGTCCCCAACCAGGTAGTCTATACCTATCAACATGACTCAGACCACTTGTCAGTGACTTCATGGATTTGTGCCATGTTTTGGTCTGGCCGCCCCTAGCTTTCTTCCAACCTACTCCTATACCACTGAACATCGCACGTCGAGGCAATCGGTGGTTGGGCATACGTAACACGTGTCCCAGCCATCTCAACTGATAAAGTTTCACTACTTCATCAATTGATTTGCCATCCTTACCTAGTACCCGTTTCCTGACAACTGTGTTACTTACTCGATAGTCCCAGGATATACGAGCAATGTTTCGAAGACACCTATGATCGAATACTAGTAACTTACGAATATCCTCTACTCTTACCGGCCATGTTTCACTGCCATAAAGTAGGACGGGACGTACTGCTGCACAGTAAACCCGTCCTTTGGTTGATAGACGGATATCTCGCCTACGCCATAAATGACGCAAGTTGGCAAAAGCTAGTCGAGCCTTCTGTATCCGTGCTGAGATTTCGTCACACACCAGACCACAAGGGCTGATGAGACTTCCAAGATAAGTGAAGCGGTCGACACACTCAATTACTTCACTCCCTATCACGAGTTCGCGTGTCGATGTAACCCAATCCTGAAGCAACATTTTGCATTTCGAGGGAGAGAATCGCATCCCGAACATGCTTGTATTGTTGCTTAGAGTGGTCAGAAGATATTTTTCCTTATGCTCAAAGTTAGTATTTGCAAGGAACAGGCGATTATCTGAGCATAGCTGCAACAGACGGTCGCCATTATCTGTTCTTTGAGCCACGAAACCATAAGATCCACCTAGGTGTCTTTCCCTATCGCTTAGTTTACCTACTTGAGCATTAAAGTCACCGGCCACTATTACTACATCAGAGCGCCTAGCTTTTCGGAGGTCGGAAAGCTTTGTGTAAAACTCATCTTTTACATCATCTGGGCTGCAGTCAGTGGGAGAATAGGCAGAAACGACGAAGAGGCAACGACGGGTGTCCCTATCTTTCCGGATTCTTACTGTTCCGTTCAGTCGGACAGCGCACAAACGGCTGTCTACTGGGATCCACTCTAAGAGAGCTAATTCTGCTCTGGGACTCAATGCTATACCTACGCCGGCGAGTCCACGGGAAGCAGAATCAGGGCTTCCAGATACACGAAGCGTAAATCGAGTCGGTTCTTTATTTTGGCATGGTGAATTCAAATGAATGACGCTACTCGGATCTTGTATGCGCGTTTCGGAGACGCAGCACACATCGATGGCGCGAGATTCTAAAGTCCTAGCTAAGGAAGCCTGCTGTCCTATTTGGCACAGTGTTCGGACGTTAAAAGCTCCTACGTGTAGTTTAGAGCGTGGTTTCAGGAGACCAGGAATAGCGTTCCGCGTACTCGAATCGTTTGCCCTAGCGGTGCGAGGTGATAAAGAGACATGAGGAGGGTTAGTCATGGAGATAAGAGAGGTATTAGGAGGTGTAGGAAGGATTTGAATGTGACCAACTTGGTCTCGTGTGCTGTTACGGGTATGAGGGCTGATGTCACTTCCCGTCTGCCCACACCGTGGAAGGGTATTTCTTGAGGAACCTGAAAAGGAAATTGGATTAGTGTTGGTCTTGACGACTTGGGAGCGTGACCGCAGAGCCCAAGGGACAACTGCTTGAGGCCGGTCGCGCACGGCCTTTTTGTGGACGGTTTTTGACGTGTTAGCTCCGTTCTTCAAAGGGCCTTACCGCCGGAGACGGAAATCCGTGAGTTAAGGTGAGGTGTGACAATTTTAGGGTCGACCTTTTCTAACCCCACCCCTCCTTGTGGGAAGGCAGCATCGCTGTCATGCTGGTTGTCTGAGGGAAACACCTTACTGCTGTCACACCTCTCTACAGTCAGCAGTACGACTTCGCCCTCAGACCTTGAGTTGCTGCTTTTAGTCTTACCGTTCACCAATCGGCCTGCCTGGCATGGTAGAACCTACAGGAACATATGTTCCAGCCAATGTAGCTCGTTTGGGTCATCACGATAGGCAAGCCCGACCACTGCGTCAAGGTAGCAGCTTCGGTCGGGTGTTATTTGCTTTAATTATTGAGACTTGTTTCTTGTATGACAAGTGGTTTGCTTGCTTACAACGCGCCAAAGATTAATACGCAACACCATACATATGATGTGTATAAATATAAAGATAATATTTGTTTCATCCAGTAATTATTTAATAAATTGACACTGTACAAAAATTTATTCCACAATTACAATCGTTTGACTACTTTAATGCTTTTATTTTATAGCTTCTAGTTCTACAGGAAGATTTGAAGTGGTGTCTGTAGAATGTCAGTCAGAATCTACATATGATCCAGAACAGGATGATAAGGGAGAAAACAACATTATGTTGAGAAGAAACGTTTGAGAAAACCAAAGTAAACATAGAAAATAGCAACAACAAAATATTGTTTACATTACGGTTATCTCAATTTTAAGATTTATCTTTAAAAAAACAAGTGTCTATCACTTCAAATTTATCAAAACTAAATCTATATTAGATTGACTGATTTATTTAATAAAAAGATGACGATTATCATGTTTTTTAATAAGTTCACTTTTTTCCTGTTGTTATACATGAAGAACTATTCACTTGTATGTTCTAAAGAGTCCCATGAAAAATCAGCCACAAGTGCGATATGATCACTTGGGAAATAGGCGTTTGGGAGACCCAATTCGCTAGAATCTTGCACAATTTGACCATTCTCATTGATTAACTGAATCAACAACTCTTTGATTCTCTCCAGTGGATCAATCGGCAACACATGAATACATTTTAAATCTGAGTCTGTATTATACAGTATAACGTCCAAAACATTGTGAAATCCGGGCACCCAGTTAGTAAATTCAGGTGGATTATTTACATAAGCTGATTCAAATACAGGCTGATAAGCAACCTCCTCATCAGATGAACATCCATCACCTTGAGTGAGAGCGGTATACACATCACTACCTGGACACTGATTAATATCCCCACAAAAAACAATTGGAATTGGTTTACTGAAGTGAACATGAAAATAAAGAAAAATTAACGGAATGATTGACCTAGTAAAATAGATTAAGATTATTTTTATTAAAAAAAGTTACAAGTTTTAGAGCCTAAGAAGTCTTACATATTCAAGTGATAATAAGCATCAAGAGTATACATTATATACGAATACATTTAGATCAACAGCTATCTTCTGTTAGGTGGACAGGGTAACTAAAAATCTATATCAAGCGAACACATCCGCATAGTAATATGTACATATTTAACCACTACTTTACCAGTACTATTAGTGAACTAGAACAGGAGTGTTGAAGACTGGAAAGCAAAAAATACACCAATAAACAAAAAAATACTTGCTTATCCGACTGTCTGTAATCCAGAGCAAGTTTTGATAAGTAGTAATGAACTGTACGCGCTTGAATTATTCGAATCGGACTAGCTGAAGGATGAAAATAGAAGTGGGCATTAGAAACAATCAGTAAAGGAGATTGTGATGTGGTCGACTTCTCTCGAAATATCCCACTGATCAGACACTGCGATAATGATTTCTGAATATGGGTTTCGGTATTCTCTTCACTAAACGAATGGCCCGTTGAGCTACAACTTAAGGTTGTGGAATTGAAATTGTTTAACATAGTTGATAAAAATGGAACGGTTGATGCATAATGAAGTATAGATGGTAGGCCGCATTTCGATACAAGTTCAAACCGAGCACGACGGTAAAAGATTGCACAACCTTCACCCTTTGAAGTAAAAAAAAATAGTATATATATATATATATATATATATATATATATATATATATATATACCTTGCGAATATTTAATCAATTTTTTAGCCATTAAGGATGGAAACCAAATGAGAATTTATTAATCTAGTTACACACAATCTTTTAGTATTTTTAGCGTCAGCTTCATGCTTTTCAAACCTTACCACCAATGACAGGAATAGATGAGGTGCGACATCTTTGAAGTTGGCGTGCTTTTACATCTATTTGTTGTAGGAAAGTAGAATCTCTGTAGATGATGGTTGTCTGAGACAAACACATTACTCCCGTCCTTAATATGATTTTGCGTTCGGACGTTAAATTGTTGTCTTTAGTCTTACAGCTCTCTAACCGATTTGTCTGGCCTGACGGAACGACGAGTATTTTACCCAAAATAGTTAATTCGGTAGTCACAACAGACACTTCCGATTAGCACGTTATAGTAGGAACCACAGTTAGACTTGAAACACAACTATCGGGTCTACAGGAGTTCTAATCCATTTAACCTGAACATAGTACATAGGAAGTTAAGTTGAACTGCTAAAACACAAACGTTGTAGATTGTAGTTCCTTGTATAAATTTTTATGTAGCTTCTGTATGGAGTTACTTTTAAGAAAAGCGAACTACTAGATATTTGTGGTGATCAGATAGTATCTAAAAAGAGTATTAAAGGTTTCTCAATGACTGAGAACATCAGTAATTTTTCGGTGTATGTCTAACTATAGTGAACAGAGAAGGTTTAACATTTTGCAACATACAGAACTAGATGCACATCCCAACAAATACGTAGTTATTTTCAAGTCTTAAGCTGAGTCACGAATATTGGAGCATTAAAGGTTTCATGGGGCAATCAATTTCAAAAAGGACTGAACTGTGCTTCCTCCTCGATGTCATGTTTACTAGGCCCTAATCAGTGATAGAAGACACACTATAAATTGTTACATCTGAACGAAGAATGAGTGAATGGTAACTGCTAGGATATATTTATGGATTTTTAATATATATATTCTTATTGTATAACTATCAAGTAAGTAGATTTTATATATTTATATTCCTTTTATTATGAGCCTTCATTTGACCTATTAACTACTATTACATGATTCACTGTTCCTAAGTTATTCCCAGTTTATTAGTTTTTCACACTCACAGACACACTTAGCTTGATCTTGTGTGGTTGTTATTTTCTATCTTATTGTATGATGCGGTCTGATTTGCTCGTATATAAACTGCGTATGTCTGAAATACATGATTAATGCAGTGGAAGCTGTGCTCTGGACTCAATAGGCAGGGGGCTAGGTAGAAGGACTAATCAGGACTCAGAATTGACTCTAGGCTGCTTGTACTGGTTCATGTGTCATTGGTCTGGTCAACAAGTCGGTGTTCTAATTGGCGATTTAGTCATGTGATAATCAACCCAACAAAAGACAACATAAATACGACTGTTGATGATGGTATTGACGATAAGTTGTGATTTATGTGTCAAACGTAAATTCATGTTCTTGGACATTGGAACTCACTGTGTGAAATCTAGCGATATGAAAACATGAACCGGCACACATCTCTAAGCTTTACGTTGATGATGACTAAGTAATAGTCCATAAATCTAAACTGGAAGTGAAGGGAGAATCAAGCCTTCAGCCTATTGATTGAAAAGCGAGAACTTTAAACACCACGTTACCGCTACCAAATTTTTAAACTACAGAACAATAAGTACCTATATATTGTCACTTGTATTAACTGCATTCAAAAATAACAAATTTACTAGAAGCCACTAAACTATTTCATTATCAATAAACTTATACTGAAAAAAACACAACTACCTTTTCTTTTTTTGTGTCAACTTTAACTTTAGCCGGATCATTCGGATCAGTTATGACTGCTCTTTTGGCTAAGAATATACCGTCCATATTTCGATGGGATCTTAAAGCATTTAGAAGGTATTTGTCATAAACCCATCGATCAACTTCTTGAAGGCAGATAAAATCCGACTGATAAGAAAACAGTTCACGTAAAATCAACGGTAATCGGTAGGCTGAACTGATACAAGCCTCTGGGCAATGTTTGAATATATGGGCACGAGCAAAATCAGATCGAGCATACATTTCGGCCAGAATATTGTAACTTACAACACGTAAATGTTGTGAATCTAACTGATTGTTTTCAATCCACTTATACCTGTTAATTAATATGAGAATAAGAGTAGGAGGTTATGAGAGTGAGTGGAGAAACGTCCCATCTAACATGACAGTGTAATTACAATTTACATACAAAAAAAGGGAATCGAGAGTATGGCTAAAGTGATTGCTTAACATCTATTAAGGCCATACCCTGACTTCTACAGCCTAAAATTCTTGCTGTTTTGAAGAATCTAACACTGTGGCTCCCCAAGCTCTATATCCCTTTGACTAACGTATAAATAACCTGCATAATTCAATAACTATGTGTTAACCAATATCATTAGCTATCTACATTTTTTGCGCGACAGGTTCAAACGCCATTCGTTAACCAACGTTTAGGAATGCATTAATAGGACAAAATATAACACAAGTCATACTGTATTGACCATTTTACAGTTCTGCTACTTCTTATTGAACTCAGAAAATTCCATTTTGATCCTTGCAAAGTGCATGCATTACCATCGATAAGTTTCTCAGAAAAAGCGGTTACCACCATTAGCTGCAACAAGTGCAGTTACTTGGCAGAGTATACCTTGAATTGCTATACTCAACGTATTATAAACAAGCTAGAAATGTAGAACATATTTATTTTGATTATAAATGTTTTACTTCATTATGCAAAACTACTTTTATGGCGAATGAAATTAAACCAATTATTAACGTTCTTACCTCTGTTGATGAAATACTTGTTTAGGAGCTTTAAGTACAGGCGATTTGCATTCAATCGGTTGTCCATAAGGATCAAAGAATTTGTTTGTTCCGAATGGGACACCGGCCATACCTTTAATGTCACGTACACGAACTTTCAACTGAATTGATAAACCAACATGATCTTCAGTTGGTATGAATAAGAAGCCTTTGTGACACGGTTTATCGGACCATTTTTTAGACTGTGAATTACAGAGGAAAAAACCACACACATGATCGAAATAAACAAAAAAATTCAAAAAGATTGGATCTAGACATTAAAATTAACAGAATGAGTCGTAATACAGAAAGTGATTGAATGAAACTGAAGATTGCTACTAATACGAACTTTACTGTTCTATTAGACTGTCAATTAACCCAAAACGGTCAAATTTTAAGCCTATGACTTTTATGCTTAGAGTTAGGAGAAAAGTAACTTAGTTTCATATTGATAACTAGACAGTTCACGTGCCACGTTTAGGCGAATTTTGGATTCATTGTGATGAAAATCATTATCGATGCTCACTGAAAAGTAGACAATAGTCTCCTTGTAAATTCCTCGTTTGCTACGAACCATGACAAGAACTAGACGACATTTTAGATAAGCAACTACTGATTAGATATAGTGTCTAAATTCATGTGAACTTGGATGTAAAATCCTGCATTTCCATATACTGTTAACATTACAAATTGAGAACTTTGTAGATTAATGCTGGATACATACATTACTTAAGATCATCCAACTTGCATTGAGCATGAAAGATGTTTGATAATAGTGTATGTATTAAAAGTCAATGAACTCACAAAATAAACAGATTTCATATACTTTGCAAAAAGTTATTCATAAATCCAACTATTTACTGTTTCTATATTTTTTGAAGTTTAAATGTCGTAAATTCGCTAGAGATTAGAAAAGAATACTAAATATACATGAAATAATATTTTTGTTGGTTATTTCATTCAATAGGATAACACATATCCATAAATACACTAGCGAATTTACAGAAACAGAATCATAGTCAAGCTACTGTATGTCAAACTAAAAAAGAACGAATAGGAAATATGATTACCTGTCCAACAAACCATAGAAATTCAGAATTTGTCAGACATATATTTTCTCCTTCAAGAAGCGGTACAACAGGGCAACCCACCATTGGAATTGTATTTAAACGGCATTGGATTATATGTGCTGGGTTTCTCTGGACAACATAAACAAGCAAGGTATTTTTTTCAGGATAGTCATGCATGGAAAAGTTTATTTGCAACAATAATTGATACGGTTTACTAGCATTATTATTAGTAGAATCTGACAGAAAACAATCTTCAAGAGTCTTGTCATTACTAAATTCTGTTAAAGCAGTAGATCCATCTGTACTTTTGCAAACCAAGTTAGCTTTCGTAGCTAAATAAACTCTGTTATTGGTTGATATACTCTTTCCTTTCAAATACTGACGATTAATGGAAGATATAAGACGAGTGAAGAAAACCGATAAGGGTTCGTGAACTGAACATTCAAAAGAAAATCGTCGTTGCCTACGATCCTGCTGAACTTCAAAATTAGTTGAAGCTGGGATCGAATATGGAATAAACAGTTCTGCAATCAGTTTCCTACATTCTTGATTAGCTATTGATCGGATAAAAAAATACGGAAAGAAATTCGAAAACACATCCGGATCCACTTTTGAACAATCTGTTTGCATATGTATTTTGCAGTAATGTCTACAGAAGAGATATCGAGACGAAACTCGTATCCACATTAATTGGATTTAAAACGTAGAAAGATTTTTACAGGAACGCCTACAAAACTGTAAAATAATTTATTTAAATATAGTGAAAATTCCCATTTTGACATTTGGTAAATAAAGAAGGAACGAATTGAGAGAACTTTCCTTTCAATTAGTTGAAAACTAATTGATAAGAAAGTTCTTCGCACAATTCGTTCCCTCTTAATTTATTCAAAATTTTGAAACCGGTTTATCGCACATTATATATATAATTACTATATTTCTAGGCACATCTGATATATGTGGAAAGAATATAATCACCTTAAAAGTCTACTAATACCATCCAAAGTGGAAAAACCATGAAATTTAGTAATAACTACCATGGTTAGAGCAATATTTCTACTGTCCTCTTAACATATACTGTAGTACGATGTGCAGAATAGTTACGGATCTATATAATTATTTCAAATCATAACCAATCGGTTGTTATTTCAGACATGCAATAGTACTAAAGAACTAAATAACTTAGTCTTCAAAAAGGAAACTACGAACGAAAATACACTATATCTAATAAACCTGATTAGTTTTAAATACACTTAGTAATGATATTACTTACGGTACAGTGTATTTAAAACTAATCAGGTTTATTAGATAGTGTATTTTCGGTCGTAGTTTCTTTTTTGAAGACTAAGTTATTTAATTCTTTAGTACTATTGCATGTCTGAAATAACAACCAACTAGTGATGAATTGAAATAACTCCAATTATATGGATCCCTAACTATTCTGCACCTAACTGTATTAGGAAAGTGAAATAAGCAACTTCCTGGAAAATGCTCTAGAAGCTAACTACCTACATGGAATTTGTGTGTATAGCAATGTATCAAATGTGTAAATTCTGAAATCGAACTCGGACCAACATGTACTTGAAAGGCGACAATGGGATTATTTCTACAAACCTTGGTCTGGTATATTTGAGTCATGAAGCATTTGTTAACAAAACACTGATACAAAAGTAAATTGATGAATAAAAAGATGAAAATAGCCGAAGCCATCCAGTTGCATTGAACGAAATCTCACATTGGTTTCATAAATACCATGAAACCAAATAATTAGATGGGGATGAGGAACCATATAAAAATTAAAATCAGAAAAGGACCTCATACTGTAATATTGAAATTGATGGAGAACCTTGGATCCTACCTCTTAATGATTAACTACAGCACTGATACAAATTATGATAACTAGAAGTAGACTCAAACTAATCCAGACAAATGAATACATATTTTGAGGGCAAATACATATTTGTGAATAATATAATTCAGAACTCGAATATTTGAAGTCTATCAATAACTTTTAGGTGTAGACACCATAACTAAGAAACTGAACACTGATTCTCCTCAACACGGACATAACTAGAACGTCACAACCCTATAAACATTCTACGCCTATCGTGTTAACTCTTAGTGGGTAGAAAATAATTGATAGCTATACGAAATACTAATTCGTAAACTAAATTGGAAGCTTTGATACCAGAATTTTATTGATGGCTTTTCTTGCTGCTAGAAACATTAAAAAGGACCGACAGCAGCATTGTTACAAACCAATTTCTTTCCTGGTTAACCCATAAAAATCCATCTCTTTTGTTAAGGGAACCATGTGGGGGAAACGTGAATGTCTGATTACTACAGAGAACATGATCATTAGCATGAAAAGCAAACTATGAAGTTTACACATGAACCCGACAACCTTCATTTGTCGTTCTCTTTCAACGTAGCTCATCCCCTTGAATTAAAAGTGAATGAGAAGTCGAGAGTACATGCCATACAACTGATGTCAACAATGTAGACGGCTCTAGCTAATATTCACTAACGAGAGATATGCTAAAAAATATTTCCAGATTTTGTGGTTGGGTACGTTGGGGCAATATTAACTTATTTTTTAAGGAGGATAACTAACACTACACCATTAGTCAAAGGAGGTAGAGAACGACATACCTACTGGAAAACACATACTTGAGATGACGTCCATAGACGAAAGCTGAAGCAACCAGCAGTAACTCTTCGTCCCCAATGGTTGTTAGACTGGCATAAATATACGTTTAAGATATTTTCAAGAATATAAACAAACGGATAAAATTAGACTAATGTAGTGCTACACAGGTCAACCAAGTGCTACGATCCGATCCTTTGAAATCGCTTAGGTGTTCTATTCCAAAGACTTTTGTGGGACGTAATGTATCTTTGTACAGGAAGCATTACTTTTTGGAAAAGCTAATATGGAAACAATTTCGTCAGATTGTCATGATCGCATGCTGATGAGCGATCCAGTTGTAAAGTAGTTCTTTACTATTGTTGTACAACTGTCAAACAGAAAACCGTACTTTACTTGGTAATTCTCAAACCATCTCGTAATGAAACTCTAAACTAGCCAGACGAGACCACTCCACCAATCTATTCACGAGATAACGTACTTGATGAGTCAGCTGGTTTTTTAGTGATAATCTACAAGCTAACTTGATAAGTTAGATAGCATACAATTCTGCATGCAGGTTTATTGATGTGCGATGCGAACTCTATTTTCGTTTACTTCTCCAGGTCATTGCTGACGGATTCGCAACTGTTAACGTGAATGTTACACCCGGTTAACTAATATGAGAACAGGACTCTACATTCCAAATTAAGCCATGCTTCCGGTAAATCTTGAAAAAAAATGACTAATTAGGAATTGGTACAAAATATGGGTAGTCTGTGATCTTACAAATATCAAGTTAGAAAGCCGGATCATGTATTTTTGGGTTTATACTTTTAGAGGAATGTCGCGTATACACACACAACTTACATCAGATGTTTATGCTCGGACTAAACAGTTTATCTTTAAGGATTTGCATAGTGTAGAGGCAACATAAACTTTCTCATAGGCAAATAGCTTCAACTTACTGAACTGAGGAACTGTTTTTGTAAGTACAACATACGCATCATAAAATATGAAACAATACACTTAAACCATAATTGAGTTCTTTATGACAATTAGTTCTTTGGCAGAAATGAGAACATGTCATCAATAAACAAAGTGAGAAACTGGAAAATAATACACTGGATTCCTCTTCAGCGTAAGCTTCAAAGGAAGAAACAAATTCTCATGAAAAACCGCTTATTAAACCAAACTTTAAATGGCATAGCAAAAATAAAGCTGATATACAAGCATATATATTAGATATATAAATAAGCATAATAAATTAACTACACATAAATTAGTCTAAGTGAAAACTGACTGACAAACAGCAAGTGAATTTAGAAGAGTATCATGAATAACCCATAACTTGAGTGTTCATCTGTGGGAACTAATCTACTCGGTTAATCAATAAAATTGACAAAAAAACTGAAAACCCGAATACGGGGAAAATTATTTTGACGTTTGGTAAAATAGAAATCCTGGGTAAAACTAAGAAACCATCGAGATATAATGTGACAAAACATCCCAGAATTTATGAGGAACAGAAATAAACTTGAGAATTTGAGGAAGACTACTGAGAAAAATTCATCTAAATTTGCGACGCTTAGATTTTCCGACTAAATTCCCTTGCGAATTGCAACTTCCTGAGTTTAGTGAGTGTGATGAATGTATAGGAGAATCTGATTTACGATAAGCGGGTAACAAAGTTGGTACAGTCGATAAAATCGGCGGTGGAGAAGAACGTGAAGGACTAGAAGATGAACGCGACTGTTGACGAACTGGTTTGATGTTTGAATGTGTGGTACCATCCGCGGATGTTGGAATATTGTCTAACGACCCTGTTGAATTTACTTCCCTCGAAACTGCTGAGTAGTCATCATCTGTCCTAAAGGATTGCCGTGATGTCGGGTTAGATGAAGTATTAGACGAAGATGACAACCCACCAGGACTAGACCGCTGGGAGAGGGATCGTGCAGGCCCAGTACTGGATCCATCAGACGAGGAAACAGAAGGGGAAAATGCAGAATGTGAACTAGAAACTAGGCTCGTGGTGTTGCTGTCGGTCGCCAGTCCCCCGATTGAATTTATGGCACTCGTGTTAGTGACGAAATGCATTACTGTGTTAGCACGGCCAAGCGCAGAAGGAGAATAATTTGCCATAGTGCACAGAACAGGTTTTTGTGACTGAAGAACAGATGGATGACTAGACGACACATATTCTGTCCCAGAAGTAGTTCCAGGCTGAAATGAAGAAATACATGAATACAATAAAAGATAGTTGTTAACGTTTATTCCAGAAATTAGGTAATATCTGAGTCAAAATTGGATGACTATAAGCAATATGTGAGCTTGGTTTATAATGACGGGTTGTTGCAACTGCCATGTAGAAAGTGAATAAGCAATGTGGTTAAGCCTACAGTCAAATGACTTACGCAAGATGGTAAATATATCAATTATTACAGGAAATCCATAGGTTGATGTCTAATTGTAATATCACTTGTAGTTCAGACTAACATATCAGAAACACAAACCAGGTAAAAATAAAGCAAATGAACGAGTGATGACTAATGAATGTTCAGGGAGAAAGGTATGAGAACACCGAATCAAGAACGATTGTAATTAAATCCAATATCGAAGCTAGACTTAGCCATTACTACTATATCTAAAAAAGCCGATAGTTAGACATACTATTATGATTATATAGCTCCACCTGGAGCTCTTCTAGGATTACTGCCGGTCCCGAGCCAAGATAGAGGTTTGGCGATGGGATAAACAGCATTTCACAGAAAACAACCCTGATAAAAACGGTTAACCACAAGAATCCATTCAAACTATTTAAACTCTACTCTGTGAGCTGAAGAATCTTTATTTAGAAGAGTTACGGCGAATCATTGTGAAAGCCAAGATTATTCGGAACTCATGAGATCGATGGCCATTCTGATAACCAAATCAATAAGCAATATAGGCACATGGGAAGACTAGTAAAACAGCTGCATAAATAAGGAGATACAACCAAGCGGTTCTCGGAATAAGTGAAACCCATCGGAACCAAGCTGGACAGAAAAGTCTAGGCACGGGAGATGTTACTGCATTCAGGTCGTGAACAAGAAAATGCTTCGCCCACACAAGG